AGTGACTGGCGTCATACATTCACATTATATACACAAGAAATAAATGGAACCGAATTGTTGAGGAGGAAACTAGCAATGAATCTTCCAATACGGCAGAGGTCCTCTCGTATCCCTCCTCGGAACCAGATTCCCTTTAATTGCTGCGCTCCTCCTCTTCCTCCCCCATTAGTTACTCCTTCCCTCTTTTTTCATCTGTTGGTTGTCATCCATCATCAAGGGCATGGCTTGTGCCACCTCATCGATCCGCGGCACCACGGCCTCCTCCTCCTTCTTCTAAGGCCATGGCTATATATAGTAGAAACGGTGATCCATCCGCGTGCGGGGTGCGCGTGTGTGACTTAGGACTTTTAAAAAAACATAGTCATGCTTTTAAAAAACATTCAATTGTTTTAAAAATGATCATGTTTTCAAAAATTATTTGAAAATTAAAAAATGTTTGCATTTTTCAAAATTATTAATGAATTTCAAAAAATGTTCTAATTTTTCTAAAATTAATCAGAATGCTTTCGTTTCGATTTTTCAGAACTTTTCAAATAATGACGAGGATTTCAACAAATGTTCCTAATTTCAAAAAATGTTCAAAAATTACAAAAAATAATATTTTTTACAAAACAATTCGTGTATTCAAAAATTGTTCACGCTTGAATTTCCTTTGGGATTTTCAAAATTGTTCTCCATTTCGAAATTTGTTCTAAAAATTTAAAATAGGTGCATGATTATAAAAATTATTCCTGTTTTGAAAGTTTGCTCACAGATCCGAATATTTTCATGTTTATGAAAAAAAAATGCAAATTAAAAGTGTGTTCGTCATTTCAAAAAATTGTTGGGGTTGTCAAAAATTGTTAGTAAGTTCAGAAAATTACTTCAATTTTGAAACATTGGTCGGGATTCTGTCAAATAGTGTTAAGTTTGCTACTGCTATTAGTTTTTAACCATTGCGATGTATATCTGTCATGAGATCTCGTCGGTCATAGTGGCTAGGACTGAGCGTGCGTGAGTGGCAGGCACTGGTCCGAATCGCAGCTACCATGAACAACCTTTTTACAACTTTTCACCATCGCATACGCGGTGCCCCACAATGGGCTGGCCCAGTCGGGTGCACCCTGTGCAATGGGGCATGTACTTGCACTAGTAGAAAATAGGGCTTTCGTCACAGTCGGATCGGAGCAATAGTCCCGGTTGCGTTACGAACCGGGACTAATGTGAGCATTAGTCCCGGTTCAAGCGGCTAGGGCACCGTACAGGCATTAGTGCCGGTTCAAATGGGACCTTTAGTCCCGGTTGGTGCCACAAAACGGTACTAATGCCTCAAACCCCATTAGTACCGGTTCGTGCCACGAACCGGTACTAATGGGGTTTGAGGCATTAGTACCGGTTAACCTTTAGTACCGGTTTGTGTCATGAACCGGTACTAATGGGGTTTGAGGCATTAG